CGCAAAGGAAAATCATGTAATAGAGACTCATTATTCATATAATCATTATCAAAGGATGCTAAAATCTTAAAAGAAAGTTTACAGTGGCAATCAGAAAAATTTGCTTTAAAATCTGATACACCCATATAAAGAATATCATGAAATAGACTTTGTGAAACAAGCACATAATCAACTACACTACATCCATAAGACTTTAGACAGGTAAAATTGCCTGAACTATCACCAAAGCATCTTCCATTCAAAATACAGAAACACAGGTACATACAGAAACACAGGTACTGTATGCTCCCCTAACCCCCCCCCCCCTCAATAAAAGTCTGATACCCCCCTTTTTCCCCTTTTCTTAATTTTTTGCTGGTCAAGGAATTTTCGGTAATTGATAGTGCCCCCCCCCCCCCCCCCCGAAACACAAAAACACACTGAAATTGCTTCCTACGGGCCTGGAAACTATGACAAATTGATATCTTGTCTTGTTTCAGTTTTGCTTGGAATTTAATGTTTAAGTTGGCAATACTTCTAAATATTTTCTGGGCAATTTAATCATTGTTTATAGGTTGGTTGGTACGAAGAGGAGTACGTTATAGCATGCATTCATTCACCTCTATAATTAAAAAAATCATGATCCAACGAGCTTGGTTATACAATAAAACTAAATAACTCCTTAGTTAAAAACTCTGTTTTATCTATTTACTAAGTACAGGGTGTATTTAACAATAATATTTTCATACGCTGAAATTTTAATCGAATTCCTCAAAAGTATAATTAACGAGTTTTTCTCCTACACTTCTCTAAACTATCTCAACACCTAAAATGTCAGTTATATATTTCTTTCAAAAGGTATAGTTGATCACAATAAAATCCACATCTCAAACCATACGATATGATTGCTCAATATAGGAGTAAAATAAGAATCTATCCCGTTTTTCCTGATAAAGTTATTATAAAGGTGGGGAATGTTTCATTTCATAGAACTCCTCTTGGAGGGAATAATAATTTCGAAGGGGTAGGGGTTGGGGTCCGAGGAGGCACCCCCCCCCCCTCCGAAATTCTTTAAGCATAAAGGTTTTAAGAGTAAAATGTAACCATATGTACTTCTAGGATGCGTTGCAAAAACAGACCGAGGGGAATGTAGGTGTAAGAAATGACGTAAAATGTTTATCATTATCATGATGCACCAACCCTCCCTGCTAGCAATCAATATTTATTTTTGAAGGGTCTGTTTTAGATTATCTCTTTGAACCGGCCGTAAATCTTTCAGGTGGTAGGTGAACACTGGTGTCAGAGATGATGAATTAACTTATTTTGAAGTGTGTTCGCTTGTTGCTCAAAGAAGAAGCTTTGATATTGGTGAGTAATACATTAAATGGTTTTATAAAATCTATGTGAATTAAGCAAAACGGTAATAACGGTAATACATGCTAGCATGCCTTTTAGAATGCATGTATAATATTGATATACCGGGTATATATATACAGTATAAAGTAATTCATTGCAAGAATATAATTGATGGCAACATTTCACGTTAGAACGTATACTATAATAAAAATTGAAATCATATGTATTTAGTAAAACGTCATGCACAGTGCCATGCAGCAATGAATCTTCAGCGGATATGAAGATATATTTTAATAGCTATAAAAGATTTTTTTTTTTAAATCTATCCGGATACCTATAGTGGCTCTACCAATGACACTACTATAATTTTATCATGAAAACTTTGTTTTCAAATTATATTTAGAATTAAAATTTCCAGAGTTTTCTTATTTAAAAAAAATAAAAAATAATGATAATAATAATAAAAACAAGATAGTAATTTGACATTTATAAATTGTTCTTAAAAGTTAATTTCATTAATAATTAGTCATGAACTCATTGGCAATTGAAAATTGTTAATTAGTGAAAGACAATATGATAAAATATTGTGATCTATGATCGCAGAAATAACGATATCTGCTAGCCCCCCCCCCTTCACTAGCTGCAGATCTGTAAATCGCTGGTCTAAAAAATTGGGATGGACACGACTGGTATACTTTTTTCGGAGAGATACAGTTCTTCAGCTACCCCCACCCCACTTGTTAATGGCTTAATTAATGCCTTATGAAACAAGAGGTCCAGGGTCCACATCGCTAACCTGAGCACATCGGCTAGGAAAAAGCACAAATCAGATCAGAACTGAAAAGTTTACTGAGGAGGGGCTTGAATTTTAATACTACTTGAGAATGCCTTCATACTAATACAGCATATAACTTTGCTGTTCTTGATAAAAAAGATTTTTTTAAACATTTTCTTCCAATATATTACTTCGTAGTAATTTGAATTTGATTCCCCATTGTTTCCCTCCTTACCCTAAAGGACCATGATCTGAACAAATTTAAATTTTCAATACATAAGGATGCTTACATGTCAGTATGACTTTATTCTTTCAATAATCTCCATAATTATTCTGTATGCATCAAAGTTAACAAAACTACTTTGGTCCTTTCTGTTATTGGGATTTGTC